TGTTGTCGTGTCTGTAAATATCTTCATAGCTGGATAAAAAGTGTGTGTTTTAGACAAATGTGTGTTCGGTTTTGTGTCTCTACATGAAATAAACAGGAGCACAGACTGGAATATGCTGAGTGAGGTAGAAAGCTTTGTTTGTTTGCTGAACTTAAATCCAACTTATCATCCATTTTGTGCTGCTCTGCACCACATCTCAGAGGAAAACCTGCTCTAATATGTTTATTTAAAGACAGTTCAGCTAAAGTTACCTTCAGTCTGTGAGACGTCACAAAACATAAAAAGAGTGAAATCTGAACATTAATGAAGGATGAGTTGAGGCGGGAACCAACAGGACGAAGCAGAAACTGATTAAAAGTAAATTGTGACATCTGGTGGCGACGAAGGAGAATCGCAGCACAGCTCGTGTTTGAAAACTGTAAAGGTCCAATCTGCTCAAAAGAGGTTTTATTCTGGTTCCGAATTGAAACTAATCCACATGGGGTCACATGGCAGGTCAGCTGTGTGGTTTTTCACAATAAAATGCCCCTCTGTCTCAGTAAAAAGAGATGTTTTCTTTTCTTTAAGGCATTAGAATTTGTAAAAACAGAAATCTTGTGACTGGACTGCTGCCCTGATGTGACGCCAGAACCACCGAGAAGCTGCAGTTTTCTGAATTATTTGGAGGCGACAGAGTGACTTTTTAGCTTTATGATAACAGCACAGTTGTCCTCATCTGCTGAAGTGGGCTCCAAAGAAAGACTTTCCATCACTTTCTACAGGCCACAGGACTGCACTGTTCATAAACACACGTCTAATCCTGGGTGTGTTTTCTAGTGATGCCGAGCTGTTGGTGCAGTAACAGAGTATCTGTGGCACTATGGAATAAAAACAAACTACATCACAAGTGCTCTCACTTCATAATCAACCCCAAAACCTGCAGGTGGGTTTGAAACGAAAAAATTGCCAAAAATTGCACCAACTCTTCCAGATTTTCAAATTTCCCACAGTCATTGCACTAATCACGTATTGGCTCAGTCAAGAATATCACAGAAGTCAGAACCTAAATGATGACGTTTCATCAGGAATCACTTCATTAAGGGTCTCATTAAAAACATTTGGTAAAAAAATTCCAAGTTTCTCAGAATAACTGACTCTTCGTCTTTCTACATGATGGTGGAACATCTTTCTACATCTGATGGTGGAACATCTTTCTACAT